AACGTCATATATGATCTCTCAATACCTGACCCCATTGTTTCACAAAGACAATTATCTAACGGATATCTATCACCTCAAGCTTTCATTCACTGTGATAAATTAGGATTAATTCAAAATGGTTGTAATATAAATCTCATTTACCATTGGAGAAGGAACAAAGCTAATAAAAGAATAGCGTTCCGACACTCAGACTTTAATCTAGATAGTAATAACTTTAAGTTCTCTTTCATAATACCTGTGGTTGATTTTATGGATTTCCGCAGATTACATTTTAAAAAATATTGGTGGTTATCTATCAATGACACACACATAGCAGATCTTAGGGATCGCAAAGCAATTTCTCTAAATACTTAGTAATTTTTAAATTTCATATAGGGGGCTATCAGTTAGATTAGAAAAAAAAAAAAACTCCACTGTGTAGTGAAGTTTTATGTGTATTTTTGTAAATAATGTATATAAATGAGTTTTCCCCCCTTTCCTCTTTTCCTATATTCCTTTTCCTTAATATTAAGGGGGGAGACTCCGTGGCCCGTGTGCTGTGTCCGTGCGCTCACACAATCAACGGGGACCGTGTATGTATACGCGATGCACGAGAGAGACATTCGATTTCGTAGAATCCAACTTCTGCCTCGACAATAGCACAAATGCACTTTTCACTGGTATAGAACTCACGGGTAGACTTCCCTACAGGGTGGTCTGGTCCGTATAAGGGCGGCAGATTTAGGGGATTCTTCTACCCCGGGATGGTGGAAGGATGTCCAGATGGATCCGAGAATAATAAAACATGTTGTCGTTGCTCGGAGAAATCTGGAAGCCCCGAAAATCACACCCTCTCGCCTCCACGTGGTGCCGCCTGGGATCCCGTCGGGAGAATCGACTCCTGAGGGGATGCGAAAGAGAGGGTGACCTTTTGTTGAATAAGATTACAAGCAGGGGGTTATCTGTACTAGGGACATCGAATGGGGATGGAGGCAGCTGGAGAGGATCGTCATGGATCGATCATCGAAAATAAGGCTACGAAAGATCATCATGGACGTTGTTGGCCGATTTCAAGATAACCACTAGACCGAAGGCAAGCGGAGGGAGGATACCGACTGCAGGAGAAAGAAGAAGAAGGACGGGGGAAAAGGAAGCGGCCGAACAAGGAGGGATGGTGCTGGAGAAGGGGTAAGCCATAATTACCCAAGTACACGCGTTTTAGCCGGAATTTTAGCGACCCAAGGGAGCCTGAGAAAAGCACAACAGGGATACGTAACGGGAATGGAAAGAGTGGGACTAGTGTTTGTCCCGAAGCTCGATCCATGAGGACCTTACGTGAAGAGGGAGGGTGCAGGACAGGAGGTATCGGTGGCTCTTGTCCAGACACAAAGCTCTCTCTCAGTCCCCCCCTGAACCCGTGAGGGTACCCGGTTTCACCCACCGAGAACTCACGAGGGTGACGAGACAGGATGCGTCAGGTTTCCCGGCAGGAAGAGGGTAGAAACGCGGATCCGACCCGTACGGGCGGGGTGTCGGGATACGAGTTGGGAGGGTAAAAGCAGACAGGAGGCGTAAGTCTGCCGACGTGCTTCCCGAAGACCACTCGTGAAGAGGCAACACGGGGGAAAAGATAGATGGGGAACCCTGTCGACTCCAGCCGTATTTTTGCCTCTCAATCCCCGCTGTGGTCCCAGGACGACGGGAAAACTGGGATAAAAAACCAGTAACCCCCGCGTGGGGGGATCGCAGTGACAGACACAGGATCCGCGGAGAACAACGGACCGGGTGGGTTCCGGGAAGTAGTCCGGGGGTGGCGAGGGCCCGGAACCCGAAGACCGTCCGTGGAGGGGGTGGGCAGATATATGTGTTCAAGGACGGGACACATAGGCCTGAATTCCCCCTTCGTTCTCGAACTAGTTGTAGATAGGCATCGGGGAGTCTGATCGCGGACGTCGACACGGGTTTGCGTACACCGAGCGCACATTCAAACACCAGCCCGTGGTGACGTTCCGTGGGCAAAGGACACCGATGCCGAGTAGCATACGGGACAGCGGCCAAGGACGCGTGGTCACAGACTGGACCGGGAGGATCTTCGTCAAGATACTACCGATACGGAGGTAAGAGATAAAAACGCCAGGAGCGCTCATTCGGGCCCGAGGGAAGGGGGGCGATGGCCGTTCCAGGTATTAAACCCTTCGGGGGCCTGGACGTGCCGCCTTGAGTAGATTAAAACGCGTACGGGCCCGAATGCGATTCCGGACAGCGGGGCGTATACTGGCGAACCGAGTCCCGGAAGCATGAAGAGCATGTCTTTGCGGGACCACGGCCCAACGAGCCCCGCGATCATCGTATTCCGGAAGGCAGTTCTCACGAACGAGGCGCCGGACGTAAGGTATGGCATTACCGAAAATAGGCCCCAAGTGCCGGTAAACATTCGTGACCCTGGAACACATATGTCGATGGGTCACGAAGGCGCCTGGCACACGCTGCAACGATCCGTGGTACGCCGGAGAGAGAGGGCGTCGACCATTAGGGAGGGGCGAGATTCGCGAACCCAGAACGCGGATGCTGGTCCCTGATGAAACTGATGTTTCCTCTTCGGAGAAACTTCGGCGAAGTCCGGTGGGCTACCGTTCGCGTCGCGTTCCTTGCAAAATCTAGGGTGAGGGGAGGGCGCGACCTACTCTACCTCGTTTTCCATTCTTGTAAAATCACATACCCCGCTACAGATTTTAGAATAGATTCATATTGGCGGTGGATTCATTTATGGTCCGCCGCGGCTCCCAGGGGAGGTGATCGCCGAACCCGACCACGTCTCTCCTTGAGGTCGGCTAGAACGGCCTCCCCATGTATCTCTATCGGAGTTCCGGGACTCTCTCCTTGTCCTTGAGGGGGGTGGTGAATTTGTAAGGGGTATCAGAGGAGGGGGGGCTCCTGAAATATTCGGGACATAGGCAGGTAGTACGATAGGGGGTTGAAACAGGCGACACAGCTCTCTCTCGATGATGGAATGTACGCAAGCACGATGATTCCACCCCTGGTACAGACTCGGTTTGAGGGTGAAGCAAAGAGTGAGCCGGTACTCACTTTTGGAGACAAAGGATCGGTTGCCCCGACGACCATATTCCATAGATAATTCACTTAGGTAGGGAAGGGACGATCCTAGTGACTCTGCGCCCCCCGGCGAGTACTTCCTCGCCTCCATGTGGCCCGGGCCTAAAAAAGTTGGTCGGGTTGGAAAACTGGGGGAAATAATAGCCCCGGGTAATGCCCACGGCAGCCCCCCTGCTAACGTGGCGGGGGCTGTGTGATAGCCACCGGCGCCATAAGCCACGGCTGGGCCTTGGGGGGGAAATCGCACTTCCCCCCTCCCGGGAGACCGTTTGTACCTACTACTACTACTGGTCCGTATAAACACCAATAAACACATTTTAATTGAAAGAATTAGAATTTTAGAAATTGTGCGATTGTGACAGACGCCGATGAAGCACACAAGATGGCTGCTCAAGTCACATTTTGTCAAATATCACACAATTTAGTTGTTAGCGTTATGGTTTTCCCAGATGGACGCCCAGTTCGCCTTGCGCGGGATAACGCAGGAGACCACGAAGTTCCATCACGTTGTGGCGCAACTCGACCCCAAATCCGAGCAAGAGGTGGAGGACATCCTCCTGAACCCGCCAGCGGAGAACCAATACACGAGGCTTAAGGACGAGCTGATCGCGCGGCTGTCCACTTCCAAGCAAAGGAAGATCAAGCAACTCCTCGAACACGAGGAACGAGGAGACAGGACGCCGTCGCAATTCTTGCGGCACATGAGGAGCCTCGCGGGCAACGATGTGCCGGAAGATTTCATCCGGACCCTTTGGACGAGCAGATTGCCGGTTTCCATGCAGTCGGTGCTGGCCACACAAGATGGCGTCGAGCTAGAAAAAGTGGCGGTTTTGGCGGACAGGATCGGCGAGGTCGCGCCGGCGCAGGTCCACCCAACGGCGTCGGCAAACAACGTAGCAGCGATCGGCGACATCAACGCCCTCGTGGAACAGATCGCGGCATTGGTGACGACCAAGTTGGAAGGCAGAGGGCGCCACAGGCGGCGAAGTTCATCCGGCGGTCGGTATCGTAGGCAATCCAGAGCGCGGTCACAGGAACGCCCGAAAGGCGTCTGTTGGTACCACTGGCGCTTCAACGACAAGGCCAGCAAATGCACCCAGCCGTGCTCTTACACACCGGGAAACGGCAAACAGAGCCGCTGATGGCGACAAGCGGCCCTGGTCAACAGATACGTCGCCTTTTCGTGACCGACGCGACAACAAGAACCCAATACCTGGTCGACACCGGGGCTAAGGTAAGCGTGTACCCGCGACGGTTAGTGAGTGGTGCGCGGTCGAATTCGACTTTTCTGCTAACGGCGGCAAACGGGTCGTTTATCAGCACGTATGGACAGATAGTGATAAGCGTAGATTTAAGGTTACGCCGGGCATTCCCGTGGACGTTTATCATTGCAGACATTGAGCGACCGATTATCGGTGCGGATTTCCTCGCGCGATTCGGCCTCCTGCCCGACGTTCAGGAGCGCCGACTGATCGACAAGGTCACCGGACTTTCAGTGCCTGGAACATTGCCGACGGGCGGGGTCGAGTCGGCTCAGTGCGTGGCGCCGGTGGCAGATGGCGCTGTCTATGCTCTGCTCAAGCGGTACGAGTGCATCACGCGACCCGCGGCGTGCGGTGGCGCGGTCAAGCACAACGTGAAACACCATATCCTCACGACACCCGGCCCTCCTGTTTCGCAGAAACCGCGACACCTGACTACAGACCGACTGAAGGCAGCGAGGCGGGAATTCGAGTACATGATGCAGCTGGGGATCGCTCGACCGTCCATGAGTGCATGGGC